AGAGACAAGCTAACCACCATGCCCTTACATTCAACTGTGTTACCATCACTGACTCCCTCACTATCAATATCCTGTGGATTATTGTTGACCAGAAACTGAAGTGGACTTGACATTATAAATAAAATGGCTACAAAAGCAGGTCAGTAGCTAGGAAAATGGTGAGTAACTCACCTCCTGACTCCCAAAAACCTGTCCACCATCTACAAGCCACAAGTCAGGAGTGTGATGGAATACTGCCCATTTGCCTGGATAAGTGCAGCCCCAATAACACTCAAGAAGCTTGGCACCATCCAGGACAAACCAGCCTGCTTGACTGGCACCATATCCACCCCTATACCACTGATGCTCAGTAGCAACAGTGTGTACTATCTATAAGAGGCACTGCAGAAATTCACCAAATATCATCAGACAGCACCTTCCAAACCCACGTCCAGTTCCATCTAGAAGGACAAGGGGAGCAGATACACAAGAACACCATCACCCGCAAGTTCCCCTCCAAGCCACTCACCATCCTGACTTGGAAATATATCGCCGTTCCTTCACTGTCACTGGGTCAAAATCCTGGAAATCCCCTCCCCATGGGACATTGTGGGTCTACCTCGAGCCAGGGACTACAGAGGTTCAAGAAGGCAGCTCAGCACCACATTTTCAAGGGCAACTAGGAATGGACAATAAATACTGGCCCAGCTAGTAATGCCTATGTCTCATAAGTGAATAATAAAAATGATTTTGTTTCAACATTAAGCAGAATTAAGTTGAGATTCACCATATAGTGGAATAATCTTCTCAACATTTACACTGTTAAGCCCTATCACAATCTTGTATGTTTCATAAGCTCACTCACCCCCAACCTTCTAAACACCAACAAATAAAGACAAAGCTATTTTGCTGTTCTTGATAATCAACCTTTTCATCCCAGAAATCAGCCTAGTGAATCTCTTTTAAATTGCCTCCTATGCCAGTATATCCTTATTTAAATACAAAGACTAAAACAGTATACAGCTTCCAGGTATGGCCTCACTAACACCCTGTACAGTTGTAACAAGACTTCCCTGTTTTTAAAGTCTAACCTTCCAGCAATAAATTACAAAATTCAATTTGCCCTCTCAATTACTTGCTGCACCCACATACTAACTTTTTGTGTTTCATGCACAAGAACATCTAGATCCCTCTACATTACATTTTTTTGGAGTTCCTCTCCATTTTAATAATAGTCGGCCTTTTGGTTCTTCCAATCAAACTCCATAACCTCACACTTTCCGACCTAAAACTCTGTTTACTGGACTTTTGCCCGCTCACACCTTATCTATATCCTCTTGCAGTTTTCTTACGTCCTCACCACAACAAGCAAGCCCACCTATTTTTGTATCCTCAGCAAATGTGGAAATATTACACTCTGCCCCCACCTCCAAGTCATTAATATAAATATTATATTATATATAATATAAATATAAATAATTGAGACACTAGACTGATTCTAAAAAAGAACTGAAGATTGTAAAACAAAAATTGCTAGAGAAATTCAGCAGGTCGGGCAGCATCTGTAGAGAGAGCAGAGTCAGCATTTCAGGTCCAGTGACTCTTCATGTGGTACTCTACTAGTTATATCTTTCCAAAATGAAAAAGACCCATTAAATCCTGACTTTATCTTCTCCAATCCTTAATCCATGCTAATACATTACCCCTAGTACAGTGGGCTCCAAATTTGTGCAATAACCTTTACATGGCACTTTTTCAAATGCTTTCTGAACATCCGAATACACCTCAAGTGCCATTTCCTTTTGTCAACTCTGTTGGTTACATCCTCAAAGAACTCTAGAAAATCTGTCAAACATGCTTTCCCTTTCACAAAACCTACTGATTTTCTTTGATTGTATTAAGAATTTCCAAATGCCCTGCTAATTCTTCCTTAATGATAGACTCTAGCATTTCCCAACAACAGATGTTAGGCTAGCTGGCTGATAGTTTCTTGTTTTCTAACTTCCTCCTTTTTGAATAGGGGCATTGTTTTAGCAGTATTCCAATCCATTGGACTCGCCCTGGAATCCAGTGAGTTCTGGAATATTTTGACCAATCCCTTCAATATCTCTGCAACCACTTCCTTTAAAAATTCCTATGTGCATGCTCCTTCCAGTTGCTTTACAGCAATGCTGATTTACTGCATACTCCTCCCAATCCCATATTGGAGTGGACATATAGGTGGCAGATGAACTTCAAAGAGAGAAGCGTGAGCTGATACAAGGAAAAGCATAAAATAAAGGGTACTATTCAAAATGGTGTACAGGAGCAGAAAAACAAGGATGTATACGTGCATATGTCATGAAAGATTACAGGACCGTTAGAGAGAGTTTAAAGAAAACACACAGTATTCTAGGCATCATTAGTAGATGCAAAGAGTACAAATGCAAAGAGATAAAAGCAAAGTACTGCAGATACTGGAGATCTGAAATAAGACCAGAAAGTACTGGAGAAACTCAGCAGTCTTGGCAGCATCTATGGATAAAGAAATAGAGTTAACATTTCCAATCTTATATGACTTCTTCAGAACTGTTTGGAGGAAGCCATATTGAACTCAAAATGTTGATTCTGTTTCTCTCTGCACCGGTGCTGCTAGACCTACTTAGCTTCTCTAAGGTTTTGGAGTAGATTTGTAGCTCGTGTTGTGGTTGGTTGGCTCGCCGAGCTGGTTTGTTGTTCCGCAGACATTTCATTACCCTGCTGGGTAACATCATCAGAGCAGCCTCCGATGAAGCTTTTCTAACACTTCATATTTTTTATTACAAGAGTAAAAGGTAATGGTATGAGATATCAGTTAGACCTCAATTGAAGTATTGTACATAGTTAGGAAGGATGTGAATGACTTGAGAGAGTGCAGAAGAGGTTTATGAGAATGTTTTCAGGGATGAGAAACTTCAGTTATGAAAATAGATTGAAGATACTGGGTCTGTTTCATTGGAGAGAAGAAGGCTAAGCAGAGATTTGATAGAAGTTCTAAAAATCATAATGGGTCTGGACAAGGTAGATTGAGAGAAATGGCTTACAAAAGGAACAAGAAAGAGATGACACAGATTAAAGTGTTTTGCTAAAGAAGCAACGTACACAGATGACTTGGTTGTGGTACAAAAATGATTCAGAGTTGAGTAAAGGAGTAGAATAAATATTTTTCTGAAGAAGGGTCCCAACCCAAAACGTCAACTTTCCTGTTCCTCTGATGCTGCCTGGCCTGCTGTGTTCCTCCATCTCCACACTGTGTTATCTTTGACTCCAGCATCTGCAGTTCTTACTATCTCAGAGGTGCGTAAAACCATTTCTGATAGAAAAAAAAAATGTGAGGTCAGAAACAATATTTTCGTATAGGGAGTATTTAGGGGGATGCAGTGCCCTAAGTGTGATGAAGGCAGATTCATTGAGGCATTCAAGAGGGTATTAGATGGTTGTTTCTATTTAAATATGTGCACGGTTAAGGGTAAATGGCAGGAGATTGGCACTAAATCAAAATGCTCAGAGTGCCATTGCAGATACACTGGGCCAAATGGCCTTGTTCTTAACTGTACAAATTCTGTGATTCATCAATGAGAAGGCAATTTAGGCAATTTTATAACACTGTTTATTACATAGTAAGACTAAATGCTACAATACATAATATTTAGAGATATAGTAGGTTCTAATGGCATGGCACCATGGCAGATGGTAAAATTTTAATCCAAATCAAAATCTAGAGTGACAAGGTGGCTCAGTGGTTAGCAATGATGCCTCACAGCGCCAGGGACCTGGGTGTGATTCCACGCTTGGGCGACAGTCTGTGTGGAGTTTGCATGTTCTCCCTGTGTCTGCATGTGTTTCCTCCACAGTCCAGGTTAAGTGGATTGGCTATGCTAAATTGCCTATAATGCACAGGCTCAATAGATTAACTATGGGAAATGCAGGTTTACAGGGATAGAGTAGGGGGTTGGTTCTGGGTGGGATGTTGTTTGGAGGGTCAGTGTGGACTTAATGGGCCAGATGGCTTACAACTTAATTGTAACCATATGAGAACGGTGGATTATTGCAAAATGCTGGGTCATTAATGTCCTTGAGGGTGGGAAATCTGCTGTCCTGACCTGAACTGGCCCATATGTGACTCCAGACCAATAGCAATGAGGTTGACTCTTTGCTTTCTGGGCATTTACTGCTAGCCTAGCCATTAATGCCCACTCCCACAAATGAAATCTTACACTGTCATGTTATTGAAAGACTATTCCATAAACTATTGCCTAAAACCAATTATTCGTCTGCGCTTGGTTCTCTCTCTTTCTCCAATCTGACTCCACCCACACTGTATGGTAGTAAGAACTGCAGATGCCGGAGTCAGAGATAACACGGTGTGGAGCTGGAGGAACCCTTCTTCAGAAACGTCAACTTTCCTGTTCCTCCGACGCTGCCTGGCCTGCTGCGTTCCTCCAGCTCCACACTGTTATCTCCACCCACATTGTACTATTTATGCCACACTGAGGTGTAGCAGTTGCTCCAGGGTCCTTAGAAACAATGATGCGGTCCAATTATTTTCAACGCCACACAGGGCACACTAGGAAACGCCTCGCTCCAAAGTTAGTCCATACTTGCAGCAACACAAACGCTGCTCCTTTTGCTGGTGGATGCTTCAGCGGGAAGCTGGTTGCACGTGTCCAAATGTCAGGTAGTTTGCAGCGGGGAGGCGGGGTCGCGGCGGCGCGCATGCGCAGATAAGGCGGCCGCGGCTCCCAAACCTCAGACGCTAAAGAGCAGGAGACAGCGGGGAGAGTGCTGGACGGTGAGGCAGCTTTGACCGCAGAGGTATCGAGTGCATGGTCTTGTAGCAGCCGTAACGTTTTTTTTTTGAGGAGGGAGTGTTCGGGGTGTCTTTCGTTCAGGGTCAATTATAAAAGAGAACGAGTCGTTAAGCTGAAGTGAGCGGCTCTCCGCCGTTTTAGGGGAGGGAGAGGCTTGTCGTGATTGTTTTGCTCGCGGTGCCCCCTGGGAGTTGTAGTCTCTCAACCCCGGCTTGAGCCCTCACTTCCTGCAGGCACTTCGGGGCCGCTTGGACTACAAGCCCCAGAGGGCCCCGCGGCCCCGGCCACTTCCCTCGCCCCGCCTGCCGACCCCGCTGTGTGTTTTCTTCCTGAGACCTGAGGGGAGGCGAGGGGAGGGGAGCGGAGCAAAGTAGCGGCTTTCGGAGCAGGAGGTAAATAATACCCGTTGTCCCGTGACTTCAACCGGGTTTCCTTTATCGTGAGCTGTGTAGCTGTATTTAGTTGTACAAGAGCCCTGCTGATCAATCGATTTTTGTTTTTTCTTCTTGCTGGAGGAACGGTGAAAATTTTAAGAGGTGAATCTGGAGTCGAAAAGCTGCTCTGGGCAAATTCTCTCCAGTTGGAACAGCTAGATGTCAGAATCATAATATAGTGTGAGGCCAATACCACAGCAACGCAAAACTGGTCATTTGGAGACGTTTCTTAGAAACCAGTACTTTTACAAGAGGACAGTGTCTCTTTAACTTCATACAGTTCTTCTTTTTATTTTTCTGGCTCTGAATTTGTTTTGAGTGCAGTGGCTTGGAGTATTGTGTCCAGTTCTCGTCGCCCAGCTATAGGAAGAATGTTGTTATGCAGGAGAGGGTTCAGAAGACATTTACCAGTATATTGCTGGGTGTGGAAGGTTTGAGTTGTAAACAAAAAGGCTGGAGGGGACTTGTTTCACTGGAGCATAGGAGGTTGAGAGGTGACCTAATCGAAGTTTATAAAGTCATGAGGCGAACAGATCAGGTTAACAGTAGTTGTCTTTGCACTAGGATGGGGGGATTTCAAGATTGGGGGTCATGTTTTTAAGGTGAGACAGATTCATTTAAAAAATGAGGGATGTTTTTTACATGGGTGGTGTGTGTGTGAAATGAACTACCTGAGGAAGTGGATGTGGGCATAAGTAGAACATTTAAAAGACATTTAGATAAGAACATGAACAGGAGATGTTTGGAGGGATATGGGCCAAGTGCAGGCAGGACTATCTTAGTTTGGGATTATGTTAGGCATGGGCTAGTTGGACTGAAGGGTCTGTTTCTGTGCTGTATGACTGTCTGTTTTTTAAATACAATTTTAGAATCTTAGGACTTTTTCTTTTAAATTTACAATCATGTGGTGAGGTCAGTCACATCCTCACCAGATTTAGAGGAGTATGTTGAATTGCAACATGTGTGGAATGCTGTTTTTTTTTTTGTAAATATTGCAGTTGAATTTGAAGGTTTTGTTCTGTTTTAAAGTAGCTGCATTTTGTGGGACTCTTCAAAGTTTATTTTAATACCTAATTTGAATAATTGCCCCTTTTCTTTTTGCCTTTTAAAATGTTTATTTCAATCATTTAAGATTGCTAAAGATCTGTGGCATAAACAATTGTCTATTTGATTCATAAAATTGTCTTACACATTAGGTACTAGTTATTTAAAGAGTAGCAAATTATCTTTCAGCTTTAAGCTTCCTGCTATTTTTTTCAATCCCTTCATGCATTCTCACACTTTCTCTGTAGCCACCTTGCCCTCACAACCCACCATGAGCTGTCTCTCACTTTAATTTCTTGCACATTCTTTTTGAAAATTTTGAATTGTTCAATGATTGGTGCTTGTGTTTTAGTTGCATAGGCATGAAGCTGTTGTTTTACTTTGCTAAAAATCTCTGCCTCTCTCTTTCTTTCTCCCTTCTAAAGACACTCCTTTAGAACTTATGACTAGGATCTGCTTTGTATGGGTTGGTGGCTGATTTTATTTGATAAAGGTATTAAATCTTTTTAGAAAGATGTACTATGTTGAAAGGGCTATCTAAGTGGATTTTAATGTTGAACTTTTTTAAAGTGCATTTATATAATGCCTTTTTGAGCTTGATGTTTCAAAATGCTTTACAACTAATTTCAGCCTTTTCGTGTTTAATATTTCCTATTGTGAACTTACACTTCAAAAGTACTTAATTGGTTTCAAAATTCTTTGGGACACCTCAAGGTTATAATCAGTGATTAGTTAAAAGCAGCACTTTTCTGTGTTCCCTTAATGCATATTCCAAAATCACAATTACTTTGACTGCTAATCAAAAGTACTTAATGTGTAGGTAAATGCAGCAATCAATTTATTCAGTGCAGCTAAAATAAATGAGTGAATAAAATATTCACCAATATGTCTGAGAAATTTGCTGTGCAGGACTCTTAAAATCCTCTCTACTATCTGTAAAGTGCAAGTCAGGGTGTAGCAGAATAGGGATGCTATTTCCCTGGACAGAATCCATTTAATAGTGTTGAAAAGCAAAAAAGGAACCATTGTACACTTGGGCATGCTACAGACCTCCAAAACAAGGGGGTCAGTTAGGTGAGTTGGCTGGACAGCTGCTTTGCAACAGTGATGCCAACAGCATAGGTTCATTCCTTGCACTGGCTGAGATTACCACGAAGGATTCTCTTTCTCAACCTCCCCCATGCCTCTAGCAATAGGAATCCTCTGGTTAAACAACCACCAGTCATGTTTGTCTCTAATGAGCCCTGTAATCTGTTAGGATAGTATATACTGAGAGGGATAAATGCACAAACTTGCAGGGAAATCAAAAAGGTGCAAGAACAAGAATAGTGATGATCCAGCCACCTGAGTCTGTGCTGACATGAGGATAAACAAGCTAGGGATCCCTGTATGCAGATGTGATTAAATATAATAACACTCCTGTTAGAGGATGCCTAATATCAGTGGGGGAGGAAACTGTTTAGTGACTTTACTTGAGAGTTGTCCTTGCCTTGCTGCTGTAAAGGACAGTAATAAGAACATGAGCCTGGTGCTCATGGAGCTTTGTAGTCTAGGTTAATTTGCTGCTGGTCCACAACATTGTCATGACACCTGTAGCCTTGTTAATTCTGGTGCTGATTTCAGCTTCAGTGGACAGGTTGCTGCTAATTGTTGATCCAAGGTATGTGAAGCTGAAATGGCCTCCACAGTGAGATTGTTGAAGGACTCTCTACATTCCAATCCAAAATTTTGGTCTTCCTGATGCTGTTTTTCACTAAACACTGTTCAGCTTGTGAGGATCGATCTACAAACAGCTGCAAGTGAACTTCACTGCAGCATGCTAGTGTAGCTAGGACATCACATGTTTGGCCTTGACGCAGTTTTTTTTTGTCAGGAACATAAGACCTAGGAGCAGAGTTAGGCCATTTGGTCCATTGAGTCTGCTCTGTCGTTCAATCGTAGATAATGTTTCTCAACCCCACTTTTCTGTTACCACTGTCTAGCTTGCTCATAATCCTCCAAGAATTCTAACAGATTTCAGGTATGACCTCCCCTTTAATGAAGTTGTGCTGACTCAGCCCTATTTTACTATGCACTTCCAAGTACTCCACAGTCTCATCCTTAATAATGGACTCTTAAAATCTTACCAGTGACCACAGTCGGCCTAACTGTCCTGTAATTTCCTTCTTTTGACTCCCTTAAACAGGGGTGTTACATTATCAAGCTGAATAGCTTGCCATCAGCTCTGGTATATAGGTAGATGCTCTCATTTGAGTTGTTGGAAATTAACAGTAGCAGCATCGCAAATAATATGCCCAAGAGAGAATGTGCTGGGGCTGTAGCAATTCAAGAAGGCAGCTTACGACCACCTTCTCAAGAACATCTAGGGAGGCCCAAAACCCATGAATTAATTGAAATAAAAGATGCTGCTGGTCTTGAAAACATCAGTTGCTCCATCGTAACTGATCGTACTGGAATTATGAATGTTTGCATGCAAGGAGGCCATGGTGTCTAGGATGCTAATTATTTTTCTGTACCAGCTAGAAGTGCTTGATTCTATTAATAGGTCAGAGGCCTTGGTGTTTCCTGCTTTATTGATGGCAGTTTGTTGACACTGGCAAAGTGACAAAATCATATTTGCAGTTGCTGTACCAGCTTTGAAATCACATTGACACTGTGTGATACCAGGGTCTGCTAACGCTTAGGCTTTAGTCAAGTATTTTGGGAAGGTATTTGCAAGGAGATGCTTGGTATTGTTAGTGTCGGCAATTCTGCCCCCACAGAATCCATCCATAGAATCCCTACAGTGTGGAAACAGCCCACTTGGCCCATCAAGTCCACACTTGCTCTCCAAAGAGCGTTCCACCCATGTGATTTGGGGCCACATACGTGGGAATATCAAATTTAAAAAACCTTTGGTTAGCCAGCAAAACAATATTGCACCCTGTTCTGGCTTAACACTTGAGGATATGATGGGATTCCAGGGTCATGGGAAGATAGCTGCAAGATTAGAATAGTGAAGCTAGGCTTTTTCTTAACAAGGAAAACAAAGATTTGATAGAGGTGTGCAAAATTATGACACTTAGATAATGTAAACAAAGGAAACTTTGTATTAGCTGCTGTTGCAAGGACTACATTCACATTTTTTGTACGAGATATGCATGGAGATTGAGGAAGAGACTTCTTAAGCAGCCGGTAGAAATGAACTGAAAGCATTGCCCACAAGGGCGGTGGAAGTTGAGACGGTCACTGGTTTAAAAAGGAAATTGGATAGTTGTTCAAAAGAAATAATTTCAGGTCAAGGTCAGAGAGAGCAGCAGTACTGGATTAACTGGGTTGCCTATAGCAAGCCATGAATGGCTTCCTACTATGTAAATCACTCTATGCCTCTCTTTGCTAGGATATGTGCAATTATAGCAACACTTAGTCTTGATGTCATTCAGGACAAGGTGTGCTTGGTATCCATTCCACCAGATTACTCATTAAGTGGGAGAATGCAGCCACTTCCCAGTGTAGTTTTTGGAAAACTTGTACCATTGTGCTGAAGGAAGTATACATTGTTTAAAAAAGGCTTCAAATCACCATTCAAAATCTAGATGTTGGAACTAAATTGGTAAAGTTGGTATTTTATGCTGCTGGAGTTGATGATCTCCTGATGCAGTGATAGTTTGAAAATATATTCAAGCAAACAAATTTTATTAAATGTCTATAATATTTGCATGTTTTAATCATCTTTAGCAATGTAAATTAATTGTTTGGATTTTGCCAGTCTGATATTAATGTATTTTAGCCCTACATTTACAGTTTTTAGTTGTGGAAGTCATGCTATAAATAGATCTGCATCATTTGCAACTTTTTAAATAACTAAATATACTGGGAGGAAAAACTCAAATGTGAAAACAAATATATTGATACATGCTAATTAACTATCTGAACCTTGTTAAATGGACAGTTAGAAGCATCCCTGTGGCCTAATGTTGCAAATCTTAATTTGTGGGATCTTGTAGTGCCATGAAAGTGTCCCTACCTGCAAGCCACGAAGTCCAAGTTCAAGTCCCGCTTGTCCTGGAGGTGTATGAGCAAATTGATCTTTTTAAAAATGACAATAAGGAGTTTTACTGAGCTGCATTGTTAAAAGGGGCCAAGCATACCATATCTCAATTGTTACAATTCAGTTCAACTGTTGAAATATAAGTGCTTGTTTATAATGTGGAACCAAAAGTTTTAAAGACAATTTAAATCTCTCCGTGGGGCGGCATGGTGGCTCAGTGGTTAGCCCTGCTGTCTCAGCGCTGGGAACCCAAGTTTAATTCCAGCCTTGGGTGACTGTCTGTGTGGAGTTTGCACACTCTCCCCATGTCTGCATGGGTTTTCTCCAGATGCTCCAAGTTCCTTCCCCAACTGTCTGAAGATTACATGGATTGGCCATGCTAAATTGGTCCAGGGATGTGCACGCTAGGTGGATTAACCATGGGAAATGCAGGGTACCGGGGTAGGATACTCTTCAGAGGTCTCGATGGCCTGCTTCCACACTGTAGGGATTCTATGAATAGCTGATTTAACTAACTAAATTTTCATGTATGAGATCTGATAAGATTTATTCCTTTCACTAAGGATGGTTATATAAAGACCACCAGATATTCATATAGGATCTTGAGGGATTAAAAGAACATTTGTCACAACTTTAGAGTGAAAACTGCTGATTGAAAGTCACATTTTGAAGAGATTTTTGACGGGCAGTTTTAGGAATAAATGAGAGCGTATGATTGATGGAAGAAAGGTGCACACACTTAACCATAGTTAAAGGAGCAGAAGTTGCTAACTGGTACATAAGTTTTGTTGATGTTTTGTGGAGTAAGATGTTATGGAATTTAACTTAGCCAAAGGTTCTGAAATCAAAGTACTGTGGGGCAGGAAAGCAGTGCAAGTATTCAAACTTAAAGATGGTTTGTTGATAGGAATAATACTCCTTTGGATAAGGACAGGAAAGATAAAAGCCCTTCATTTGTTGAATGTTCACATGGTGTTCTGGAGAAGTTTTTTTAGAAAGCAGAAATTCTTAAAGCAGCTGGCTGCTAGATGAGTTTGCAGGGACATTTACTTGCGTGTTTGAATTGGGATGGGCTGGAGGGCTTTTCTGCCATGTATGTCTATGTTGTGATGTTCATTACATAAAAATTCAACTCACCCTGCTAAATAGGATTGTAGAATTATGCAGTAATTTTCTCATACTCCCTGAACAATTTTTCTCTTGTGCACACATTCTTTCTCTTTCTCCCTCCCCCCACCCTCCCTCAACATAATCCTCTTAAATGAATAGATGTAAAACATAGGAAAAATACCATCTATCCTCTGTAAGTTAATACTTCCCCATTCAAATTCTTTTAGCCACCAATCTAATCTCGAATGTTGACAATAGTTTCAACCTCGACCACTGACCTTGGAAATAAATTCCACAAGTGAGAAACAATGTTTCCATCCACTCTGTCCCATACCTATTAAAGTCTGAGGGTTCAGTAAACGTCATTGATTTTATGTGAGCTAATGAGCTTTTCTGCATTAATAGCATGACCAGAAAGAGTCTGTGCACTCCGTATGCTTACAAGTAGATCAACTAACAGGAACTTCAAATTATTCCTCAATTGAGGTGATTCTCAGCGTGGAATATGTAGTAACTACAGAAAATGTTCCTCTTTAGGCACTTCAATGGGCAATGACTGAGGTTCAAAAAAGTTATTAGTTTCAGAAGTTGCTGTGTTGTCTTGGTCACATAGTGCTTTACACTACTTGATAGCTTTGATGTGTCATAGGTACAAGTCTTCACTATACATTTTATGTCTATTATTTAGTAATTCCTATGTGGTTTCAGACTACACTTCATTTCAGGTATTTTTGTTAGGTTATTGATTCACAAATACAAGTTTTTCTCAAATTTTTGTTTTGGCAGCTAACAGCAGTATTGCATATTTTCTAAGGTCTATTCCTGTATTTGAACAATATTATTCAAGTCATATCATTCATCTCTATTACAAATGTTTGTGTCCATCTGTGGAAATGAAGCTATAATGATGCCAAATAAAACAGTGCTGAAATTAACTCTTAAATTTAGATCTGTGCTGTCGTACTGATGAAGGGTCACCCTTTGTACTAGAGCTTCTCAAATTGGGTGGCGTGACCCCAAGTGTGGTCGCAAGCTGCAATTTGAGGTCGTGAGGTCCAGAGCAGCAATGACTAATTTCTCAGTTCTGCTCCTAACTCTTCTCTACCTGAGCCCCCAATTCAAGGTCATCAAGGGGTCACAATTTTCAAGCCTTGCAATGGGGTGACATTGGGAAGCACTGCTGTATATAAATGCTGCCTGACCTGCTGAAATCTTTTCCATTATTTTCCCACTGCTATTTCTGATTTACAGCATCAATGGTATTCTGCTGTTTGATTAGTGTGATTAATGTCATCCTTTTCCCATTCTTCTTGGAGAATGATAAGAGGTTACTAATTATGTCTACGTTTGCAGACAAAATTATATGGGGAAAATACTGGGGAGTCGAAGTCATTGTAATCTTTTGCAACAATGCAGTCAAGTGGTCTATAGCAGATGAGTACAGTCAGGTTGGACGATGAAGAGCAAGAGACGAGGTAGGGTGAAATTAGAGGTTTAGGTTAAGGGGAAGAAAGAGTCTGAATGGAGGAGAAGCAGGAGATCGTGGATTTGACTTGAATACATAATTTAAATTCATATTTCAAAGTACCGAGGGATTACTCCAATCTGAGGTGTATTGGGTTGAGATGACTACAGTCATCAGCAGTGGAACAAAAGGAGTGAGGAGGTGACAGCATGGAGACTGTTGTTGAGACAGCTGGAAAGCAAGAGACATTGAAAGATTTGAATGCAAGAATGAGAACCTTAGCACTATCACCATAAGAGCAAAAGCAGGCTATTCAGCTCATCAAGTCTGCTCCTCCATTCAATTAAATCATCGTGGATTTGTTCATTCTCAATTTTCAATTCTCCATTTTCCTGCCCTTTTCTCTAACTCCTCATTCCCTTGCTGATTTAGAAATTTGTCTATCTCAGCCATGAATATTCATAGCCCAGCCTTTACATCACCCTCTGAGAAAAGGAATTCCCCTTCGTTTCTATGTTAAGTCTGCACCCCCTTAGTTTCTACATCTACCCTGTCAAGTCCTGTACAAATCTTGTATGTTTAAATAAGGTTGCCTGTCATTCCTCTAAATTCCAGTAAGCACAGGCCCCACCTATTCAACCTCATCTGACACAACAGTCCCTGCAGATGTCACATCAGCCTAATGAACCTTCTTTAGACTGTCTCCAATGCCAGTATGTCTTTCCTGAGTTAAGGTGCCCAACCTGGTTTACAATATTCCTGCTGTGGTCTTAGAAGTGCCTTGTATAGTTTTAGCACAACCTTGCTGCTTCTATGCTCCACTTCTTTTGTAATAAAGGCCAACATTCAATTTGCTTTTCTTATTACCTGCTGAACATGGCTGCTAGCTTTTGATTCAGGGATTAGAAACTACCAAATCCCTCTGTTCTGTAGCTTTTTGCAGCTTTTATTTAAATAATATTCAGCTCCTCTCTTCTTGCTGCCAAAGTGCATAACCTCACATCTTCCAATAATAAAACACAACTGCAGATGCAGGAAATCTGAAACAAGTACTGGAGCAACTCAGTAGGTCAGGCAACATCTGGAGAGAGAGCAACAGAGTTAAGGTTTCAAATTTGGGACCCGGTGTCAGTGTTCTGAAGCTGGTATTGTTGTTCTTAGAGCAGAAATGTTGTGGGGAGATTTAACAGGAATGGTCATAATGGAAGGATTTTGATAGTAAAAGCCTCGTTTACTTATACAGGTTTGAGGAGCCTTGTTAATCGAGTTTATAAGATTTTGGTTTCTTTGACTTTTAACTTTTTTAATCAATAGTGCTGAACAATGTCAGAAGAACCACCACCTCCGTATCCTGGGGGGTCTTCTGCTCCATTACTTGAAGAGAAACCAGGACAGCCACCATCGACAGGTACAAACAATATTTTACTAAAAAAATTTCACGGAATACTTGAAATTACAAGTATATAGTCCAAAATCAGGCTGTCTGAAAACCAAAATTTAAAGAATTAAGAGCATAGATGAAATGTCTTGACAGTTTGTCAGTTGAGTTGTATACTTCATTCACCATTCTGATGGCAAATCAAAAAGTACCAATAAGTCCAAGACACAACTGTTGTGGAGAATAGGAGTGTTTTATGTCAAGTGCAAAAAAGTATATTTACAATAATGTACTTTCTTTTTAAAAAAAAAAAAAGTTCTTTGTGCAGACAAAGTAAATCAGTGTGACTCAAAGTGCAAGATTAAAATCCAGGAAGACCCAGATTGACGTGGTTTCTGTCCCAAAGATGCTGGAATTTGGGCTTTGTACCTGTAGATAATGGAGGAGAAAAATCTACTGCCTTCATGCTGAGCACCATTTATGGAAAATATTTGAATCAAAGTTTTTAAGACTTAAACTCTTGTGTGATCTGAATTACTATGAACATCACTTACTGTTAAATTAAAATTTTTTCTATATTGAAAAGGAACAGAAGTTGAGTCCATGTTTTGTAGGTTAGATTTTACAGTGCAATTTGAAATAATCAAATTATTTTGATATGGCAACTTGCTACAGCTTGCAAACATATATTTAAGTGTTTTGAGGTATGCTGAATAGTGATCCATGTATAAATTTGATATTTATTAAACATTTTGCATCTAGGGTATCCTTGTTTATCAGCATGTTGAGCTAACCAACGTGTTTACAGTACGATGTAAAACAATGGCAAATCGGTAAAGGCCAAAAAAAGTAAGAATTAAAAGCAGAACAAATAACTAGAAAGCTTCCACTAAACAATTTGATACTCCAAATATATTAATTCCGAAAGACATTTACACAGGATCATTAAATAATTTGAAAAATTAAGGAAAATATTTATTTTTGATTTAATGAAGAAACTTGCAAATTGATTTTTTAGATTTTTGATCCTTTTTAAAAATTAGACTTGAAGCTATTTTGATTTTGGCCAATTGAAATTTATTTTGATTTCATCAGTTTCACCAGAACAATGAATGCTAACCTGCACATTTTACTTTGTATGTTGTGTACAACAGCATCAGTGTTTGAGGAGAGAGCAGAGGAGTTGATGTGTACCTCAAGTTTAATCTTGATTTTTGAGGCCAGAAACAACCTTTCAAAGGTATAGGCAGTTGAACATCATTCACAAATACAACAGTTTTGGCTGTTTTATTAATTAAAATTAAACTTCTCAGCAGGAATAAACTCTTATATATACAGGTGTTAAATTAAATTCATAATTGTCATTTGAATCAGTTGTACTTTTATTACAATGTGGAAAATATTTCTGCCTGTCTCTTCAGTGCATATGCCACCTACTACTCAAACCCATGGATATTCCATCCCACCAGATGGTGGACCACCCCCTTATGAGCCAATGGCGCAACCAGGATTTGTACCTCTCCACACACCAGCAGAAGGTGGCATGCCCACACCGCCGCATGGTAATTAAACATCAAAAACTTTTGTGTGATTGAATTTGTGAACCTGAGACTGATTCAATTACCCTTCAAAAATATGAAACAATACTGGGTGTTAAATAATTGTTTGGAGTTAATGTGAAAGATTCAGGCTTGCATTTCCATGAAAACTTTATCAGAAGTATTTCTATATAATGATTCAACTGATTTGAATCCAAAGTTGGGTTGATGAGAAATAGAACTAGCGAAGAGCAAAACATTGCTAATGCTGGATGTTTAAAATAAAAACGGAAAATGCTGGAAATAGTCAGCTGGCCTAGCAGTGTCAGTGGAAACGGAGCCAGAATTTTGAAGGATCGCCAACGTGAAACACTAACTCTATTTCTAGAGAGGCTGCCAGACCTGCTCGTACAGCAGTTTTTGCTAATGGGGTTTAAAAAAATTTAGTTTCAAGAAGTACCTCATTCCCATGTCATTTTTAAAAAAATTTATGACAGTAATTACAGTGCCTGTTCAAATCTAACTCCTACATTTCTTCCTCGTGCAGTGGACAGGCATTGGAGTATTGGTTCTGGTGTTTAGACCATAAGAAATAGGAGTGAAAGTAGGCTGTTCAGCCCTTTGAGTCTGCTCCTCCATTCAATGAGATAAAGGTTGATCTGATAACTTCCAACTCCTTTCCTGCCGTTTCCCCAGAACCCTTGATTCACTTCCTGATTAAAAATCTGTCTCGGCTTTGAATATACTTGATTACCCAACCATTACAGCCCTCTGTGTGGTAAGGAATTCCACAGATTCACTATCGTTGGCGATGTAATTTCTCTTCATCTGTCTTAAATATGTGACATCTTATGCTGAGATTATGCCGTCTGGTCCTAGGCTCTCCCACAAGGGGAAACAACCTTTCTGCATCTACCCTGTCAAGTCTTGTTAAGAATCTTGTGTTTTAATAAGGGAACCTCTCATACTTCTAAATTCCAACAAGTACAGGCTCAACCTATTCAACATCTCAGAAGATAGTCCTTCTATACCTGATATCAGCCTAATGAATCTTCTCTAGACTGTCTCCAACATGAGTAAATCTTAGATAAGGGGCTCAAACAGTTCACGTTATTCCAGCTGTGATTGTGATTGAATTGTATCTAAACCGATGGAATGCAACTTGTAGAGTTCCATGTAAACTGAACCCAAAAAATCTCAAGCCAGTTCTATCTGGTGACTAATCCATAGAACTGAATTAGTGTTAAGGACATCTTGATACTAAATATTCCAGTTTGCTCCAAGATGAGCTGGTATATACTCCCTATTGGATTGTACAACGCAGCTTGCAGCCATTTGCAACAGAGGTTGCACCAGAAGAGTATTCCAGTTTGTCTCACTCCTCATTCATTTTTTTCTTCAATACTTGACTTTTTTTTAAGGCTGGTATGGAATCTATATCTAAGACCCTAATACTGCTTGAGTTTTAAAAGCACTATGTTTGGTAATCTTTTTCTTGCTCATACTGCCTCTGTTTCTTCACAAATTAATGTCCGCCAGTTCCAACTGTTAAGCTGCTGGATGTAGTTTCTCCTTATTTCATCTAACAAAACCCTTCATTTTAATTCCCTCTAGTGAATCTACACTTATTTTCTCTCCTTGAAGGAAATTCCAGGTACTTTCATCCTCCATCCCTGGAACTGTTCTAGTAAATCTCTTCTGTACTGTTTCCCAAGATATCACAACCTCCCTAAAGTTTGGTGTCAAAAATAATTTTAAAAATTTAGGTGAAATTGCAGTTGAGAACTTTTCCTTCCGGGTACTTTTTGCTGAATAAAGCTGCTGTTCTGTACTGTGCAATCTGCATTTTGTGTTCCCATCATAAATTTAGAACCAGATGTAAACCAAGCATCCTAGCGAAAGCTACACCAATTTCTCAGAATTGTGGAAAATTAATTCCGATAGGCAATAGACTATTCATATGTATTCTTGTCATTTTATAAGCAGCAGTGTATGAGTGAATCAGCATAAGAGTGACTGACTAACTAGTTTTCAGAGAGCATTATTCAATATCAAATGTTACCAAAATGGGAATTTTAATGTTTTGTCCATTTGTTCTATACAGTAACTTAAGACCATTGTGGTGTATGCATGTTTAAACTACCATTTCTGATATACCTCAGTCATGTTATCTACGTACTAAGTATGAATGTGACGTGGAATTGTGACACACAGGTTTCAAAGATTTATTGTGAGCTTATGCTAAATTCATTAAGCTTTAATTCAGCAAAATACATATGTGCAAGGAAAGATAATAAAAATTGAAGTCTTTTAACACACTGATAATGTTATGGTACTGATCGTTTTTGTTTGTTTGTTTTTTCTCATTTTTTTTCCTGGACAGGTTACTACCCAACAGCTGGACATTACCCACCGCCAGGCCATTATGTACCCCCAGGCCACTATCCTCCCCCTCCTGGACACTATGTTCCTCCAAGTGGACAAACAGCAACTGTTATAGTCCCCCCAGGTGCTGCAACAACAGTGACAGTGCTGCAAGGGGAGATGTTTCAAGCTGCACCAGTGCAGACCATGTGCCCTCACTGTCAGCAGACTATCACAACTAGGATCACTTATGAAGTCGGCTTACTGAATACTTTGTTTTGCCTCTTCTGTTGTTTTGTGGGGTAAGTAACTACCATAGAAAGATGATAGAAATGAAAGCTGATGGAAATGCCTTGAGGTTTATTTGGTTACAGAGAACTACACACAAATTAGAACTCTGCATTGAAACAAGTTGAATTTTGCAAGCAAACCTGTGACCTATTCTTCTGACCTATCAATGTATCCTTTGGTCCTCCACTTTTATTTACTAATCCACCTACTTACTTCTACATTACCTGAAAACATGGACAGTATATCTTCATCCTAATTATTGATGGATGCAGTGACCAGAATTGATCACTGAACAATATCTTGTGGAGTGCAACTAGTCACTTGCAGAGAGCTTCTACTGTTTCTTCCCATTAAACTAATTTTTGGTCTTTGGCTTCCTACTAATTCTATACCAGTTAATGACCACCAGTGGTTCCTGTCATATATTTCCTTCCCTAAAAGACATTTGTAAACCAACTGGGCTTTTACAGCAATCAACAATAATTGTTGTCACCATTACTGAGACTAGCTCTTAATTCCAGATTTATATTAACTAAATTTAAATTCCATCAGTGGCCAGGGAGTCTCTAGATTACCAGTCTATCTGAACTACAATCTTCCCCCTTTTTGGCTGCATTACTCAATAACATTGGAATGTTAACCAAACAACTAATGGGAATTAGGCTGCACAAATATCCCCATCATTATTGATGTGGAGCCCAGAAAATCAATACAAAAGACAGGGCTGAGGCGTTTACATCCATCTCCAGCAAGAGATATCTAATGGATGATCAATCTTGGTGTCATCCAGTGATCAAAGTTGCCACAAAGGCCTGTGCGCTCTGACAACATTTGAGAAACAGTACTGAAGATTTCAGTTCCAAAACGAGCCTTTTTCCCCCAAACTGTTCCAATTCAGGCATAACTCTGGCATTTAACCACCAGTGTAGAAAATTGCCCAGGTATGTCCTGTATGCACACAGCAGGGCAAATCCAACCCAGCCAACCACCCCACCCTATAAGTTTCACTGATCAACCAAGTGATGGAAATGGTCATTAACTGTACTTTCAATGGCACATATTCAGCAGCATCCACTCATTGGGTCACTCAGCTTCTGACCCCATTACAGCCTTGTTACAAATGTGGATGAAAGAACTTCTCTCCAGAGGTGAGAGCAATCAATTACCCTTGACTTGCAGCATTTGATGGAGCGTGCCATCAAGTAGCTCCAGTAAAACTAATGAGTGGGAACTGTTGGAGTCATGCCGAGTACAAAGGAATGAGTTGTGGTTGTTGCAGGTCAGTCATCTCTGCAGGGCTTCCTCAGGGTAGTGTTTTGGCATCCGCCATGTTCAACCTCACTTTTAAAATCAACAAGTAACAATTTATTTATCTAACTCCTATCCATGAACAAATTAAACTATTAACAAACCAAATAAATCCCTTGTAACTACTAACTATTCCTGATTAAAGCAAGATTCTAATGGTATGTTTGAATAAATACAAGTCCATCTTGTATAAAGAAAATTTGTCTCAATTGCAGTCAGGTTATGTCTCGTCTGAAACATTCTGTCTTCTCCGTCGACTCCTCTGTCAGGAATATTAACTAGTTGTGCCATTGGTATTTAGATGGTGTTTTCTCTAGGGCATAGAGGCTGAGAGCCAACAATTCTCTCCTGAGAGCTGAGGATGGTGAGCTTTGTTGGATAGCGACTAGCTCTGTGGCTTTATCTAACTGCCCCCTTCTTTTATACCCTTGATGACATGTCAACCTTTCTAATAATGGATTGGTCCTACATTGCCAAAACCATCACATTTAAATTTAATTGGTGTTTGGTACCTAAGTGCCTGGCTCAAATTGATAGCTGAATTCAAAAGCCTGTTGTCTTGGTAAAAACTGCTGCTTGGCCTGCTAACTGTATGGCCTCTTGATACAAATGTTTCAATTTTGGGTGCTCTGTGTACTTGCAAACTTTCAAGCAGCTACTCGCAGACATCCATTTTAAATCTCTAAGCACAGAAAAGCACATCATCTTTTAAAGGGACCACACAATGCTTCCCCCTCCCTAGCATTTTACAAACACCAAATTCTAACTCTGTTCCCAATCCACAAGTACTCTACCCAACTTCGCAACACTGCCTTCAGAATAAAGCACTTGATGACAGGCTAACATCTGTCTTGGGCTTGCTGCAGTGCTCCAGTGCTCTAGTGAAGCTCAGCACAAGCTGGAAGAACAGCACCTCACTTTCCACTTGGGGACCTTGCAGCCTTCAGGACTCTATCGATATCAATAATAAAGGCCTGAACACCAGGGCTGCTACTACAACTAGCTCATTGTCAGCCAGTGACTGTCCCCATTTGGAGCTATTAATTCTCCCAGGCTGACAATTACGCATTCCTTTGTCTGCCCAGTTGTTATTTCCCTCCATGCCCCATCTCCACCTATTGTTGACTTCCTCCCGCTCCCACCACCCCATCTTTGGCACTTACGTCATCCCTTTCCCAGCTACAATCAGTTCTGAAGAACGCCCACTGAACCCAAAATGTTATTTCTGCTTTCTGTCTGCAGATGTTGCCAGACCTGCTGAGTTTTCCCAGCAATTTGTTTTTGGTTAGCACTGATTTTTACTTAGTAATTAAACTATACAAAAGGAAATGGATTTGTTTTGAATTCAGGCATTTCAGTCTACAGTTCTAACGAGTGTGGGAGCTTTATTGGTGCAACAGATAAAATGTCTTTGCTACATTTTCCAATCCTTTTTATTTTTTTGAAGGTACTCTTATTTGATCGGAGATAGTAGGAACTGCAGATGCTGGAGAATCTGAGATAACAAGGTGTACAGCAGGCCAAGCAGCATCAGAGGAGCAAGAAAGCGGATGTTTTGGGTCTAGGCCCAAAACGTCAGCTTTCTTGCTCCTCTGATGCTGCTTGGTCTGCTGTGTTCATTCAGCTGTACACCTTATCTCTTATTTGATCTGTAACTGGTTAAGTTGAAGTGTGGTTACAAAGTTGTTTTTTATAACAGATTCTTTTGTTTTAATCTAGGTGTGATTTGGGCTGCTGCTTAATCCCCTGCTTGATAGATGATCTGAAGGATGTGATTCACACTTGTCCAAATTGTAAAGCTTACATATACACATACAAGCGGGTATGCTAACAAACATCCTGATCCTGTCTGAGAAGCGTTGGAATAAGTTTAAAATGGCCGACTTAAATTGTTCACTTTTTAGTTCAATTCAAATGTTATGATCTAAATGATTGTGATATTTACAGCATATACTGTGCTGTATTTACAAGCAACTGTGAATGCCTTACTTGCAGAACATATTATTTTGAAAAATTTTACCTATGTATAATTTTGTGTAAACAGTATAAATGTCATACCCAACTTAAAATAGCTTTCCAACTTTTGAAGCTCCCTGTGCATAGTTATCTTTAAGATGGTGATTGGTTTTGAATCTTTAGTATTTATATATGCATATTTGGTCATTGTGCTGATGGTGTTAAGAACTAAGGGAAAATAACTGGTTCCATCCCAAAACATTGCACCAATGATATTTTTGTGATGCATTGTTTATTTTTCAATATGCAATTTGATAAATCATGAATATGTTGTGTAGAAATTATCACAGGCATGTGGCTTTATACTTGAAACCCCAGGGAAAATATAACTTTATCTTCTTGTTCCTAAAGCCTCTTGATGGAATCATATGCACGAACCTGTTTTGTAATATTATTTGCATTTCAGTAATTTTACACTTGCATCCTAATGAAGTTTTAGTTTTATTTAGAAACCCATCCTGGTACAGATCTCTAAAGACAACATTTTGAAGTTGGTATGTAGATTATTGAGAAAGGTACCATAGGAACAATGAAGGCATGATTTAGAAGGCAGTATTTAATTTTGAAGTAAAATATCTTGCTAAAATGTGAATTTAATACTTGTCAGTTGATTGTTGCCAGACTGCAAGTTTTAAACAATAGTTCACAAAGGTCTAAGCTGTGACAAATGACTTTGACTGTAGTAACGTTGCAATGATAGTCAGTCAAGTCCTTTTTAACCCAAATGGTGGAGCTTGTACAGCAGCATTTCTAAAAATTGTTTGAAAGACTAATTATGCAGAGCTTAGACTTTGTGGATCAATAAAGCTCGGTTTTGTCTGTTACAGTACAGAACTGTACCAGGATTTCATGTTCTTTATACTAACATTTTGAAACATTGTACAGTGCAGAAATCTTGGATGTATATTCAGAATGTAATATTATACTGCTTGTGTAATTTTTGGCAGCTTGCAATTGCCTTTGCTGAGAACTTAAATGCAGCATATGTGAATCTACCACTTTGCTCCAGTATAATTGCAGAGAATTGTTACAATGTATTCTGCTTTGAAAGCAAATGAAGGCAACACAAGAATTTAATAGAAAATGTATTTATCTTTAAGTAGTCGCTGGAGCCCATGTGTGGCCAGTCTTTCTTCCAGTACTTTGTTTTAATGTGCCTGTTATTTATCATAAAATTAGCATTTAAAGGTAATCAGTATTATTAGATGTGGCTGTTGTTGACAGATAAAGAAACATCATTATTTTAGATATCAGCAATGTTTCAACCAGTCCTGGTGTCTCAATTCGGATTGCTATAAAGACCAACAACAGGAGGGCAAAACACTCTTCCTCTATCACAAGATCCAGAATGCAGGAAGGTTGGACATTTAAGAAACCTTTATAGTGACAGTGGCAATAACTAGACATGTGTAAATCTTACCTTTTTTTTTTCAAGTTATCAAATGAAACTAAATGTACATGCAGTTGTTCTCCAATTATGTTTGGTCAATTGAAGTGCATCACTCTGAAAGGGTACCATACAGGTTATCTACTCAAGGTGGGGAAGCAGTCTCTTTTTTTTTTTAGGCCACTTCTCATCGTTAATGCATTTTAATGAAATCTGTTGGTTGTGAAAAGGCAAAACATCTATTTAACACACATTTTAGTCATCCTGATCTTACTGATTTGTTGGAGACTACATAAGTGGGAGAGATTTTAATTAATTATCCATACTGTGTCTTAAAAATACTGTATTATATTAACTCTTTTTCACAAAGATGCTGCCTGGGTAACTTAAACACAACATTCCTTAAAGGTTAATTTACATAATTGTAAAATACATGATTTTTTAAGTTTTGGTTTTTTGAGTTTAAGAATTCCACTTAATTAACTATTACTTTCCTTGCACTTATACACCTAGCAATACAATTGAATCCACAAACACGGTAATTTGGCTTGCACTAATTCCTTTTTTAAAGACATTCAAAGATAACGTGAATAATTTACTTGCCTTCATCACCTTTCACATAGCACAAGCCAGGAAAAAGGATTGGTTGAGTATTGGTTATATAATAAATTACCTGATTTGAGTTGAAATCTTAAACATCTCTTGTATCGATCTCCTTTAGTGTTCTAAGTGATTATATGGACATGTTTGCAAATCTGTTCCAGAAGCATTCTTTGTGCAATTGCCACTTGTTTTTCAATTAAAACAAAGTTCTTGCTGGAAATATCTTTTAATGGCTATTTTCTGTAACTCAAACCACTATTGGTTGAGACAGCTTTTGTGTGCAACCTGATTAAACATTCCTACAATGTACACGCATTATCTTGTGTCAAAAATGGGTATATATAAGTTGGAGATTAATAAATGCTAATGGCACAATTTTGATGTGAAGCTCTTCTGATCTTTATTTTGGCTAAAGGGACCAAAGGCTATGGGGAGGAAGCAGGAACAGAGTAGAGTTGGTTGATCAGCCATGACCATATTGAATAGCATAGCAAGCTTGCTGAGTTGAATGCCTTACTCTTATGTTGTGGTTTATTCAAATACCTATCCTATGGAATGGGAATGTCAAAACAAGTTAGAGACCAAGCTACACAGGATAGTAGGAACTGCAGATGCTGGAGAATCCGAGACAACAAGGTGCAGGGCTGGATGAACACAGCAGGCCAAGCAGCATCATAGGAGCAGAGAGGCTGACATTTCGGGCCTAGACCCTTCATCAGAAAAGGGGGAGGGGAAGGGGGTTTTGAAATAAATAGGGAGAGAGTGGGAGGCGGATAGAGGAGAGGATAGGTGGAGAGGAAACAAACAGGTCGAAGAGGCAGGGATGGAGCCAGTAAAGGTGAGTGTAGGTGGGGAGTTAGGAAGGGGATAGGTCAGTCCAGGGAGGATGGACAGGTCAAGGGGGTGGGATGAGGTTGGTCGGTAGGAGATGGAGGTGCGGCTTGAGGTGGGAGGAGGGGATAGGTGGGAGGAAGAACAGGTTAGGGAGGCAGGGAC